GCAATAAATGAAGTGACAGCAGTTGCACTATTTATATGCAAATCCTGATCTGGTGATAGGAATTCATGATGCACTATGCCATTGAAATCGAAAAGCACAGTGAACGCTTCACCGAACTTGTCGTGCCTTTTTGGGTCGTGGCGAGCTTGAATGCCTCTAGGGTAATGATTGAGCGTAAGATTTGACGTCATATATGTAATTTTCAACGTCTTCACTGTTTTCTTTAGGAATGTTTATACCATCCGTAAATATTTTATTTACATATTGCAGCCTCATCGTAGCCCTTCATAGCATGCCACACACTTTTTAACAGTTTATTCAATTTTTTGCGAAAAACTGTATATAAATCCTTTGATCCATTTCTTTAAGAAACGAAAATCGCCAAGCTCGAAAAAGTACGTCTATCTCAGTGGTTGTCACAAAAGAAGTCAGCAATGAAAACAGCTGAATGTTCATACTTTAGGCCACGTTATATCAAGTTTGCGTTATGAAGGCATATGAAGTTTCATTATTTTAGTATAACTTGTTGCGGCCTGGTGTTGTCGTAATAAAATAAACTTGGAACGCCTTTGCCTTCTGTTTCGACAATACTTTCTCAACAAAAAGGAACGAATAGAAAAATCCAGCAGTTCTGGATCATAGATCGTAGCTATCTTCATCGACGGCTCTAAACTAGAAGACAAAGTAGGTTGTGAAGTTTACTCTGAAGAATAAAGTAAAGAATTCCCGACCACTGTGTCATATTTTACAGGAAACTAACCGCTTGAGGGTTGCTCGTTTCTAATACGTTAATCCGATCTATTACAATATATTCTGATAGCTGTTATTAAGTATCGCCAATGCAATCATACCACCTTAAAGGTGGCAAAAAATTGCAATGACTGTATGCGAAATTCCAGGAAAACTCAGCACATGACGTGAGCATGCCGCTTTCCTCGGCAAAATATCTGCTAATATAAGCTTTCACCCGGAAAGCTAATAGCAGATGGGAGAGCAAGAAATCTGACCATTAGTCGAGATAAACTGAACTAAGTCTCTACTCCTTCTAAACCATACCTCCGAAGCATAAGAACCGGCGTTATAACCGGTTTATGGAGACTCATATAGAAGGATGGGCTGCTTCTCAAACGAGCACTGCCGCAGCTGCAGCTACATAGATGACTAGGAATCGGTAGAACACTACCTCTCTCCCTGCCCAGCTCTCAGTGCGGTGCGTTATCATTTATTCGGAAATTTCTTTTACTTTGCATAGCTTGGATCGGGTGGCGTAACTAATCTTCTGAATTTCATAAAGCGCACAAAGTGGTTTGAACATTTGAAAATGTGAAAGGAATCTCCTCAGCAACATCCAAGCAACCAGTTAAACTAAACTAACTATATTTTAGCATTCTATTGAATTTTTGAAAAAATCTCTCTCTCGACCATCCCAATAGAAATGCTTAACAAATATCTGAAAAAGAAAAGAAATTATAAGTAACATACATACTTATCCAAGCTTGTACATAGATATTAGATAGCTAAAATGAATGCTTTTAGCTCACAACTCACAGCTCATGTTATTTGTTTGTTTTTTTTTTTTTTTTTTGCTTTTGAGTTTTTGCTCTTGTTGTTATTGGTAGCTAAAGTGACGTAATGGCTGCTGGTTCAATAAACTTTGGCAACAACGGGGCGCCTTTTTGGTTTATGCAAGCAATTACATACATACATATACGTGTATTATGGATGTACATATATATGCATGTACGTTTTTGACTGTATGTCTGTTTGCGCTTTTAGTTTTTTGCACTTTGTAGTCACAGCAACTCAGTATGAGCCCCAGAGGGGGAGAAGAGCGTGGAGCAAACACACAAAGGATATAAGGGTGGCGGTTGGTTGTTGTTTTTTCGATAACATCTACATAACGCATACATGCAAATACATGTGTATAATTATACGCTAACTGCCAGAGACTGAAAACATCTAAAAAGTTTCAAAGACAAGTAATTAAATTATATATCGTATCCTAAAATTGTACACATAAAAACATGCAAAGACTGTTGTCAACATTTCGACTTTTCCTTAGTTAAAAATAGAGCCATTTTTGCTCTCTCAATGCTCTCTCAGAGTTCTTGACTTTCGTCAAGCTCTGAATATCAAAACTCAATTTTCCATACAAAATGGAGTCACCCTAATGCACGTGCACAGAAGGCATCTGAATGGTAGTCAATGAAACTCATTTTGCTGAACTACTTTAACAGCTCAAAAAAGCTGGTGATTCCGTCCGATTTGGGCGATGAAAGTAGGCCATTAAATGCTACGCTTTCTTATGCGAGCAAACTTCGATTGGATGCAATTTGAGTAATTTGCTGCAAGTTCATAATACGATGGGGATGGTTTGGCTAATGTAACAAATTTTTTATATTTGCTACTTTTAAATGAAATGAAAAACTTTTAGAGAATTAAACTTCAATGAAATTTGTGTTATATAACTTTTATAGATTAAAAAATTACTTTTTATTGACGGCTCAACTGAGAATATGATTTATATAGCCTTCGATATTTTATTACCTATTCACTTTTGCTTTATAATTTTTCAATTATGAAATAGCTGACAAGTTTTCCAAGTCAGTAGCACCTCTTGATGAATTTGAAGTGGGGATCATATCGTATCCGTTAGTCATGATAAGGAGGAAGCTTTCAAACACTAGCGTGATGCTTGATATTGAGCTTTCTGATGCTAAAACATCTTATACCAGTGGAAGCAAACTACCTTGCTAAGGTTACCAATTTGTTTCTCCTTTCCTCAGTAGTGAAGACAATTGAGGCCTTGCTGCTCCCGCTCTTCACAAACCATCTGAGTGCAACAGCACATCAGCAGAGTTTTCGAAGTGTGCACAGCACCACAACCGTATTTAACTTTATAAACCTCCGGACAGTCTATGGCCTTAACCAAAACCGACCCTATGAGTGAACATTTCTGTTAGCACTGGATCTGTCAAAAGCGTTTGACACAGTCAACCATTCAGCACTCAATATTGGCGTATCGAATGCATATCTAATCTTGCCGTTCTATTCCATTTCCTCATTCCCACAAGTTTAACGAACCCGATGTGAAAGTCGATGGCTTTAAAATTCCGACAACTAACTAGCAAAAGTTACTGGGAGTCACATTCGACATCCTGTACTTCTTCACTCCGCATAGGACTGCAATTGTTAAAACAACACAGAGTTGCAACAAAATCCTCAAATCGTTAGCTGACAGCACATGGGGAAGGACAAAGAACGGGGCTCGCAAAAAACAAGGCAATTGGCTGGCCGGTCCTCCGATTTAGACTTTGAGGACTAGCGAAAAGTAGAGGAGTAAGCTAAATACATGTCAGAACACTGAAAGGAAAGCTCCTTAAGTTATAGCGTCTTTTCTTGCCCAGTGAAACATGGTATGGTCTGAGTTGAGAAAAAATATATATGCTGTGCAAGCATAAGATATTTGGTGTGTGCATTAATTCGTGCGGTTTTCTAAGAGAGGGGCCTATTATTTCGCGTCGTGTTCATCTGTGGCTATATTCATTTCAAAGGTACTGTCATTTCGCGGTGCCTTATCCACTTCTTGGAGAGTCCTTTCATGTCATACACAGTACATACTCTTCAAGTTTCAAGTGTCTATGAACCGATGTTTAGTCCATTCTAGATAAGAAATTTTCTAAATACATATACATTTTTTTCTAGAAGTTGGTTGGAGTATAATCTTCAGAAGGCCTCTGGTATTCATGATGAATATCAGCTTCGAATAAGCATAAGTGCATACTTAGAATCTACCTAACCTAGTCCTAAGCCAAGGAACTTGCGTGAGCTATTTAAATTTTTCGCCGTTATTCGTTTGAAAGTCCTTCAGCTTTTGTGTGTTTGTTTCTGGAAAGTCCTTACAATGTAATTAAAATTTTTTTGCAAAGGAGCGTTTTTACGTTCGCAGAATGAGAGAGTTGTAGGAAGATAATTAAGCTCATTTCGATCGTAACACATACAAAGATTAATAGATAGTATAAACTCGAGATTTTATTGTTATAAGAAAATAAGTTTTTTATCAATCGTCAATCGGTTATGGACTCAAGAAATTACCTTCGGTAAGGCACGCCTGTTGTAAGAGGCGAGTAAAATTCAATAGTTCCCACGACGATCGTTCTTTATAAAGGAACGACCCGGATTTTTATCCGGCCAAGGAATGTCACTCCCGCAATATTCCCCAATTTGAGGAATATTCTGACACAGCGAGTGAAAATTGAAATATGCCAAAAATCGAGTATCGTGACGTTAAAAAGCTGCTTATCTAGCATGAAAAATTAATTGTGACTATAACGAATCATATATGCCATTGGATGCTCGACTGAAGAAGAACTAGCTCGCAGAAATAGTTGAAGTATTCGATGAAAATCCTGCGCGATCATTTCGCTGAACTTTGATGTTTTGAATCACCCACCCGACAGCATAGATCCTGGCCTCGAGTGAATACTACGCGTTTCAAAAAAATAAAGAAGGGTTGAGAGGTTAAAAATGTATCCACAACGATGAAGTCAAGTAAGCAGTTTCGAGATGTTTTGAAGACAAAGAGAAAACTTTTTGTGGAGGTATAATTAAACAATTTAAAAGATCTGAAAAAATATTTTCGTCTTACAGGTGAATATTTGAAAAAAAAATTATTTGTTATTTATTTTTATGTTATTAATCCTGGGGAACGTAAATATGAAAACACAAATGTTTTTTTTTAATTTATTATTATTTTTTTCTAGATAAAATTATTTTACATATCTAACTCCCCTTTTGATATTTTTTGTTTGCATACATAAATCACCAACACTATGTAGAATGCGTTCATTTGTTGATACATATACGTATATGATATATTTCTATAAGTACGAGTACATTGCATACACATGTTTATGTAATTACAAATAACCCATATACGGATAACACTAATTGATATTTTTCCATCATCTTCTTTTCTCTCTCTTCACTTTTCTTTGCAGTTTTATAGTTTACTAGAGCAAAATATCATTGCGAATTCCACTTTAACACTGCGGCCATGCACAGTGTTTGTGCCCACAAATGCTGCATTCCAGCGCCATCATGGACCCACACATGTGCTCTATCATATAAGTGAGTAACAATGCGTGCAATCAAGAAAATTAATTGAGAGATAAAAATGTATTTATTTATTTATTTATTTGTTGCTGTTTGTGTAGTGTGGACTTCGCCACCAAAAAAATAAGTAAATTACTCAAAACCAACAAATGAATGAATTTGCTTATAATACATACAAATTTATTTTACTATAATACAAATGCAGTTATTTACATATATACATATATACATATGTCAAATATATGAAATATTTCATTATAATTGCAGCAACGACACCAATGACGAAGGACGAACTTATAAAAATCATACCATCGGATATGGGTGGTAATCCATCATTGTATATAACGAAAAATCGCAATGGCGACATATATGTGAATAACGCTAGAATAATACCATCACTAACCGTCGAAATGACCAATAGTCTGGGAATGCGTCAGGTGAGGAAGTGATTATAAATGCAGTAATTGAAAATCGAATTTGCTTGAGTAAAAATAGCGAAGCGAATAAAGAGAAAATGGTAGATTTAATTAAAAACTTTTAGTGTTGCTCTATACATACATGTCATATATATACATGGATATATGAATGAGCAGCTATTGAGATGTCAAAAGACACGTATTGAAAGTTTGATGAAAGAAAAAGAAAAAGTAAATTAGGAAAATTTTTTTTTGAATATTTTTATTCTCCTTTACTGTTGTAGACACCGTTTACCTGCGCGCCGCGCCATTCATTCCTTCTTTACGCTCTTTGGCGGCAATTGAAATAGCAAGTACAACGCTGTCTTTCCAGCTGAGTGCAAGTCTTTCTCTACCTTTGCTTCCAGCAGCGTTAACTGCATCGAAAACTTTTAAAGCTGGATACTCCCTTCCGTAAGGATCACAGGACCTAGCCAGTGTAGCCGCTGTTTCTTTATTCGCTGAACTCTGTTAATGTCACCATATATCATGTATTGTTCACCCTACCGCAACCGACTCTTTTAATTGCTTACTCGTTCCAAAGTAGCCCTGGTTAGAATGATTGATGCTGCATTAATTTTCAAGGCTGATATTGTTGTTGGTGTTAATAACGCTGGTAACAAGATAGACGCTGACTATGATCTACGACTTCAAAGTTGTGACTGTGAACAGTGACGAGGGAGCCGAGGCGCAAATTCGATGACTGGTTTTTTGATGATGATGCAATATTTCGTCTTGACCTCGTTTACTGTCACACCAAATAGGCTTCGCTTCCTTATTAAGTTGGAAGAAAGCAGAGCTCTCGGCGTGGTTGATGAGGTCAATGATGTCAAAATTATTGGCGTACGTCAATAGTCATATGCTTTTAAAGAAGATTGTACCTTCTCTATTCAGTTCTGCAGCTCGTCTCACCTTGTCTGAAACCTCGCTTAAGTCCTTCCCTTCCTTCAGGGAAGTCCTTTCCGTTTCCGATAGTACTTTTGGTGTTACTTAACTTCAGAATACCGATTTCTGATGAAGCTGCGTAGAGGTAGCTCCATTAGTGCTGCTTTAAAAATGACGAAGAGACACACCCCCTCTTCGATTTTCTTTTCACGGGGGGTTTCCAAAATTTGATGCAAAGAATCATTTTGTTAACGGCATGCTTTAGTCTTACACACAATACGCTCAATAGAACCTTATATGTGAATTGTAGGCGAAATTAAAGGGTTATCCCACAGTAATTGGTATTCTATTAAGGAATCGGGTTCGCCATCTTTGGGTGTTCCATTTTTACTGCTATCCAGAAGGCTAAAGAAGAGCTCCCCCCCCTACAAGAGTTAGCTCCGTTCATGAAGCCTACTGTAAGTCGCCGCATCTTTTTGTAGAATAGTAAAACTCAATTTTTTATAATACAACAAGGATAAAAGTGAAAATAATAATTCTGTATATAATACAATAAATATCAAAATTCTAAATTTAAAATGTTCTTTGCATTAAAAATTATAGCTGTCGCTTAACTAACTTTTATTTTTTAATTTTTAATTTTTAATTTTTGTGCACTTTTTCCTCTCACAGGTAATGCACATAATCGATGAAGTCCTTGTGCCACTTACTGCACTGCCCACTGCCAAAATAGAGTTCACCAATTTGGATGCTTATCAATTTTTGAAACAAGCGGATCTCTTGGATATCGGCGAGAATCGTTTGAGGTATGTTCACAGTTTTTTTTAAATAAATTGAATTTTTTTCTACTATAACTCTGTTCTATTCTTTCAGATCGTACCGTTCGCAAGTGACTTTAATGCGTAGAGATAATCTCTACCAGTCGCCAGGTGGACACACTTTTCTAATACCAGTCGACGAAGGGTTCAAGGTAGGAAAGAAGGGGGAATATTATTTCAACTAGTAACTGTGGTAAACAGTTATATAAGTGGTCCCTTGGTAACTAGGTTTTTACCACTTCACGCTGTTTTTTTATTTGCCCACTTCGATGCCTTTGAGGTAATTTGCGTCTAATTGTTGGCACATATTGAGCGATGTCTCAGTCATTACTTGAAGAATGTTCTTTTTCAAGTGCTCAAAATTTCAAAAATGATCCGCGTACACAGCCTTTCGCGTAGCGGCACAAAAAAGGAGTTCTCGGTAGCCAAAAGAGCTCACCAATTAAGCCATATTCTCCCCTGTGGTGTGGCATATGGCACCATCTTGTTGAAACCACATTGGTATTGTCTACGTCGTTTTCATCAATTGCGGACTAAATGAAGTCGGTTATCATATGAACACCACTTTCCCAATAGTTACGGTTGGCCTCCAGACATTAAATTTTTTTTGCCTGTAATGGCCTGTCTTCAATTACTTGAGGTTTTACGGAGCCCAAAATGCAGCAATTTTGTTTATTTACATATTGTTGAAGCTAGAAATGTGCCTCGTCGCTAAAGAAATTTTGTTACCAAAATCACCGTTCCGTGCGTGTTGTTAAAGCACCCAATTGACGTATGTACGTCGTTATGAACGCTCAGTTGGCTTCAATTGTTGTGTGAGCTGGACTTTATATGGATAAAGTGTGAGTCCAAGTAAGTAAAATATGTCAAAATGTGACAAAAGAAAGTCCCAGCTCTTGAGTACGTCGAGAAATAGACGCATTGGGGTCTCTGGCTTCACAAAACGACGATGAACAGGCTTTACAATATCTGCAACCAATCCAGTCTTCAATTTCCCCAATAGTTGGACGATTATGTGCCCCATAATCTCCGCTTAAGGCAGAAAACATTTTGAGCGCGTAGTGAGGTTGTTAAGCGATACATTTTCATTAATGCCTGACTTAAAACTAAAGCAAAACAAATTTGGTTTGACAGTTAAGTTCGAAAGATGTCCAAATACAGTCCTTTTATTTTTGAAACCACGTAATGCATAACCACATACATTTAAAAGTTGACTAGTTACTTTCAAACTAGTTCGCAACTAGTTAATTGGCAAGTAATTATTATTAATATAGACGCAAGTTGATAATTCGCCCACAAAATATTTTTTACCAGAAAATAAATTTTGCAAAAGTCAACCTTCGACTGACCATGCATAGTTACAAATTTTTTTTCATATTAAATACGTATTACATTACATTACAACTATGTTAAATGCATTCTTACTTACATATGTGATATTCAATAGCTGCATTCTTTTTTCGCATTGCAACCGCTAATCAATAAAATGTCAATTAATTGTCACAGCAAACCACACGCAGCAGTTTGGTGGACAACAAAGTCATCGACGGACACGTCATACCGAATAATGTGATTTTCACGGCGGCCGCACAAATTGAGGTGCCACAAACCACAGCCGCATTTGAGGACAATCTCAAAGTAACCGCTAGTTTCTTCAAACAAAAAGATGGCAAAAGTAAGTAGCGCGATTATAAGCACTTAAAAAGTTATTTTCATACAAAATACCAATGTATTTACAAATACATGCGCATACATACATAAGTGTTTATGCTTACAAAATATAACCACTCATACAAAGTGCAGAAACTGCCGCTTAAGATTGCTTCTTTTCTCCTCAACAGTGTATGTCAAATCAAATACAATTGTGGGTGATGAGAAACACCCCACTGGTGTTGTACTAGCGGAAATTGTCAAAGCCAATATTCCGGTGCGAAATGGTGTGGTGCATCTGATTCATCGGCCGCTAATGATAATCGACTCGACTGTGACGCAATTTTTACAGGTAGGTGTTCGATTGTAAACGTACACAGCGTTACATAAATACATATACCTATATAGTGTGTATGTAAATCTTTGCGAATGTGTAAGTGTGTGTGAAAAAAGTCAATTTAATTTTATGGACACATACACCAATGACTAATACAAGAAGAAGTGTGCTTGTGTGTATGTGTGGGTGTGTGTAGTTAAAAGTTTATATATATATACGTACACATCTCACACAACTACATTAGAAACTGTTTCGAACTTTTCGAAAAACAATTAAGTGAAGTAATCAGCGGTTACGAATAAGATTTATCTTAATGCTTTCGATTAAAGAAATTGTTTCGAAAAAATAAATTATCATACCGCTGCTTGCTACGCTTTGCCTATGTACATTCTCGTACTAATCAACAAACACAAACGCAGTCAAACCTCGATAACTGTTACTAAATTGAAAAATTTAATGTTAAAAATAATTTTTGAAATTTTTAGAATTTTATTTTTTTCAACTATTAGTTAGCAATTTAATTAATGGCTTGGAATTTGAAGTTATCGAGTTTTGTCTGTGTTCTCATTACTTTTATATTTCGCTGCACTTTTACTTTGCAACGAAGAAAATTAAATTATGCTTACACCATTCTTAAAATTTAATGCAAACACGCATTAAGTTAATATTATTTTATAATTATTTTGCTTACGTAGTGCTGGCTGAAATTTATGTAAAATTTATTCACTAAAGAAGACATTTATTTAAACACTTTACTCTTACTTGCTCAAATTAAAAACATTAAATATAATGAGTGTGTTCAGGAAATTTAAATACCCACTAAGCGAGACTTCCAAGGTTTTTAGGTTAGCTCGAGCTTATTTAGATATTTGTAATTTTTTGAAAAATAAAATTTAATCAAATCGTCCGAGAATATAAATATAAATAAAAACATATGTATGTGCATGCATATATGATTTCAACTGGTTCTTAATTAGTTACCAAGCTTTAAAAAGGTTACGTATACGCCGTGCTGTGCTTAGGATAAATAATATCTCTTTCCAATTTCCTTTACTTACATTTGTGATAGATATTAAATATACAGACATGTATTCGCCGAAAATTGAATTGATTTCTAATATGATTTGGTTGAAGTTAATACAAAAATTAAACAAAAACAAATAAGTAAAAAAAGTCTCCCGCCTTATATATACATATGTACGTATATAGGCGCAAAGTTTAAGAAAAAAATAGAAAATTCTCCAAAAAAAATAAGTCTACTAATTTAAAAAATATTAATTTAAATTATGAATTTATTAAACTTATTACATTTTGAAAAGCAATTAATATGTTTAATTATTACTATGAGCTCCTTAGGGAATTAAGTCAAAATATTTTATTTTATAAATTTTAATTTCATTCGCTATTTACATATGCGTCTCTTGAAAGCACCGATATTTATATTTTTTCCTCCCAAACGCCCAGCGCACAATTTCTCGTTTTGATCCAACTTGACTCCACCAAAATATTTTACAAAAGTTGAATTCTACTAAAACTGGTTTCTCGTAAGATCAAAACGAATGCACACACATATTTGATTATATACATTTTTATCGAAATACGCAAATAAAATTAGCAAATTATAAGTATAATATATTTTGCATTTTACGCTGTTTCAATTTTTTATTTTTATTTCTTTCATTTCATTTTTTTTTTGTATTCATCACTTTCAATTTCCAATGCATAAACAAAACAACAAACAAGTGTTTATAAGATATAACAAAACAAAAAACAAACAACAATACAAAACAAAAAATAATTACTTAATAATAAAAAACCCCATAGTCTGATTTTACCTCGAACTTGAATTAGAAAATTTGAAAAATTGAAAAATAAAAAATTTGTTTTCGGTTTGATGTAAAATCATAAGCAAAATTTTATTTTAAAATAATTTTTAAAATATAAATTTTATTTTAAAAAAATTTTGGGTGCGATGTAAGTATACAAATATTAATAAACGTTGTAATTTTTGTTATAAATAACAAATTCGATTAACATCTTTCGCCCATTTACATATACTACATCCAATCGTTCGCCCCTTCTGGTCAGTTGCCATTTGACAGTCATATAATTGGAATATTTATTAAATAATAAAGAAATTTATTGAAATTCGAAATTTTCAAAACTTCCAAATATAACCAAATAAAAGGCCAAAACATTCATATCCTTTTTCCGAGATCGAAAACTCATATCTCTCTCAATTCATTATCTATACGCAATCTCAAAATTACGTTTCATATTCCAGCAAGTTTGCTTTTACTTACAAATTGATACCACTTTCAAATCACGAACAAAAATTACATAATCATACTAAGCCACATACACAAAAACAATAAATTACAACAGATCAAAAAAAAGCAAACTAACTAAATTCAAAAAGTGATATGAAAAAATAAAATAAAATAACAAAACATAAAATAAAATAAAATAAAATAAAATTAAATTAAATTAAATTAAATTAAAATAAATAAATTAGAACAAAAAGATAAAATAATATAAAATAAAATTAAAAAAAATTAAATTAAATTAAAAAATAAATAATATGTATGTAATAAATTTAAATAAATTAAATTAAAGTAAAATAAAAAAGAAACTTAAATGAAATGGAGTAATATAAAACAAAATAAAATAAAATAAAATAGAATAATATAAAACAATATAAAATAAAACAAAATAAAATTAAAAAAATAAAATAAGTTAAAATAAAGTAAAATAAAGTAAAACAAGAAAATAAGACAAATTGAATAAAATAAAACCAAAGGTAAATTAAACTAAATTAAATAAAATAAATTTAAATAAAATAAAATAAACAAATGAAAAAATAAAAACCACAGTTAAAAAAATTAAATGAAATAAAATAATATGATATAAAATAAAATATAAGCAATATAAAATAAGGGAAATTGAGTAAAATACAACGAACTGAGAAAATTGAAAAACAAAATTAAAACTAAATGAAATAAACAAATAAAACAATTCAAAATACGAAATTACACAAAATAATGTTAATAAATTAAAATTAAAAAAAAGAACAATAGAATAAATTGAATAATTTGTAAAATAATTAAAATAAAACAAAAAAAAAAATAGAATAAAATAAATTCAAAAACAATTATAAAATTTAATTGAAATAAGCGAATTAAATTAAATCAAAACAAAATAATGTAAATTACAATAAAATGAAATGAACGAATGAAAGCAAATGGAATAAATTGAATTAATTAAAGTGAAATAAAACAATAAAAAGTAATATTATCGCTCGCTTTCTAATATGTTTTACATCAAAATTAACCAGCTTAATTTAAGCTAAAATTTCAATTATTACTTAAGTTGTTTGAAATTTAAACTGCTTCTGAATTACATTTTATTTCGGTTTTTGCACCAGCATTTTTAATCATTGCTTTTAATTTGGCTACACGCTTGAAGCCTTCACTTTGAATATTATTTAATTTTCTTTTCGACACTGCAATTCTACGCATTTCATTATCCGTACAAATAAAGAAAAAAAATATTTCACGAAAAACTTGATTTCATGCATATCAGTCTTGTACAAATACAAATCAAGCATTGCATTTCATATATTACACGAATTATATGAATTCACTATATATAGATATTTTTTTTTTTCATTCTTTGTTTGACGTGATTGTTGTGATAGAGCAGAAAACAATATTGACTTTGGTGTTTTCTTTATACTCTTCTCTGTGAATGTTTTTTTTTTTGTGTTTTGGTTTTTTTATTTTTCATAATTTCTCATTTTTGTGTTATATGCAACGCTCCGGAAACGCTCATGCAACAAACTCAAACATTTTAGTCCTTTAAGGTAAATACCTCAAATAGTATATATGTATATGTACGTGTATACAAATCCAAATTCATCTCAAAACATGCAGGCATACATACATATTAACAAAATATACAATTTACAAACATAAATACATATATTTATCTATAAACAATAATTTACATCACATACATATACAATATTCTTTACAATAATATACATACATGCATACAATGGCAAGAATTCAATTATATTTTCATAAAACATATGAAGCATGCCAAAAGTTAACAAAGAACAACAAACAATTTTTAAGCTTTTTTAGTATATAATTCATTTGTAAGGACTAAATTTTTCACAAAATATATGTTTCAAATCACTTAGTGATTTCACGCCGAAATACAAAAATGTAGGTTTCAGATATTATCACCAAAAATTACTTACCTAAATGGTTCTGTTAAACTATATAGATATGTTTGCTGGGGAATAGATACACTTTTTAACATTCAGTGCCGTCCAGAGTATTTAAAATAATATTTGTCTAAAAGTAGGTTTTTCAAAAGAAATAAATGAAGATCTGTTCCTATTTCTTTCCAAAAATATAGCCATAGGACGATAAGCATAGTGAAGCGGTCCCAAAAAGGTATCGTACTCATCGTTTCAGAACAATAAAATACTCAATACTAATACAAGCCTGATAACTCTATGACCATGTGCGAAAAAATTAACATTGATCTTTTCTAATTAATAATAGTATCTTCTAGGAAAAGAATATTAGTAAAAATAATATATTATTTTTGCATTAAATTAAATCATGTCAAAGATGCACCACTTTGCAAGATAACTTTTTGCCATTTTGAAGGTAATACCGTTATGTCTCTCTCAAAGAAATTCCCATCCCAATTGGCAAAAAATTTAGACAAACGGATTTCAAAAACTTCTCTTGAAACCAATTCTTCACCAGCCGTACTATAAGGTGAATACATTGAAATCTTCCAATCTAGCTCTAGGTGCTTCTGGCGAGTCACAATTGATGTGGTGTGATGTAGCATAGTCCTGATGAAACATAATTTTCTTCTTGTCGGCCATTGCTGTGTTCTTCTGGGAGACTGACTCTTTCAGACGGTCCAATTACAGGCAGTGCAGGTCCTAATTAAGAGTTTGACAGTAGCCTTCATGGCCATCAATCTTTGTGCCGGCCTACTGCCCTTCGACCACAACCGTTTTCATTCGAAGTTGTTCTAAGTGATCCACTTTTCATCACTAGTCACCATTCGCTTCAGAAAAGGTTCGATTTTATGACGATTCAACACCGGTTCGTAGATGAAAATTCGGTCCATGAGGTCCTTTCTCGTTAGCTCATGTGGCACCCATACAACGTATTCTTCTTCTTTGTGTATTCAGCCTTTTTCAAGTGGTTCCATACTATCTTTTGAGTAATGTTTAGCTCCTGAGGAATCGAAACAGTTCTTGGTTGATGGTCATACTCGACGTACTTCATTATTTTATCGATTTTTTCCACAATCGGCCTTCCACACTGTTGAGCAAATTTTACATCAAAATAACCGGGACATGAAGTATTTGATTGGTACCAACTTCATACCTTTCTGGAGCCGATTCACTATACTTATCGTGTTATGTATCCATCGACATTTTCTAGAACCTTGAAGAAGTTTAGTAACTTGAAAAAGTATTTTTTTATACTCGTTTATCAGCACATTAAATAAATATATAGAAAATACTTTTCACAAATATATTTTCGATAAGGAATCACTAAAAAAATAGCAATTAATACCAAAAAAATTTGAGTTTTTAATATCAATACACATTTCAATATTAAAATATTTTTGCATGCGTTAAACAAGTTTTTCATATTAATATAAAGGATTCGAATGCGTTTCCAATAGCATTTATTATATGTTGCATGATACAATATAATTCTCCTATAGTTTTATGGCCAATTTCATGAAAAGGTTAAAAAAAGGCGTCCGACTTAAGATGCCCTATATTCATATCCAAATATGTACATACATACAAACGTATATGCGTAGGTGGAATATTCTCAGTTTCGTGTTAGAAAATTTCTGAATATACTTTTTAGTCAAAGCGGTTTCCGCACCCAGTAATTTAAAATATCTATAAAAGTATTTGACTAAGTATACGAGTGACACCGCTTAGATCTGGCAAAGAAACGTTATCAGAATATATATTATTACGGATTTCATAACATAAAATCCCATTGCGTGCTTGTAGACTTTTATTTAAAAAGCATACGTATAGAATGCCTGACTACGCATGATGAACCCAGAGATTCAGGAGGCTCTCTGCTCTCGCTGTATGTCTGCATGATTGTCAATTATCCAACTTTATAATTTGCCTTTGCTTGCCAAAAAAAAAAAACAAATATGCATATCAGCAGACAAATTGCATACGTACAAATGTATTGAATGAATCAAAACCTCAACACAAATCCCAAATTATTCATTTTGTATGCGAAACAATTTAGGTAAACAAAAGCCAAAGTGTCATAACAAAGTTACATTGCACGGCATACATACAAACATACATACATGAGAAACATATATACCCAATTTTTAGAATGCAATTAAAAAAAAAATTCGAAAATTTTAATTGAATTTGAATTGATTGTGTTTTTTTTTATTATCGTTATTGACGTTGTCGGCAACTTGAACGCTGTTGGCACATCTCTCTCTCTCTCTCTCTCACACACACGCGCTCAATCCAACGTGTGCAACGACCTTATATATGTAAATGTTTCTGTCGAAAACAATACTATAATCAAAAATTCATTACAAAAACAACAACAACAAATTCGCTAATCGTATAGTTGATGAACGTAAGTATGTACGATAAGTGCAAAGAAAAGAAAAAAAAAAAGTAATCGAAAAAAAAAATTAATTAATATAAATAAATCGTATGCTTGTTATAGAATAAAAAGAAAAACATATTTAAATAAATTTATAAAATGTATTCAAAGAATGTATTCAATATACTAAATGTGCAAAGTTACTTTTGTGATAATGTCTAACGAAGCGACTTTTATTAAATTTCTACTAATTTTTACGTCTTTTCTAAAACAATCACACATTATACATATACATATATTGAACAAAAATCACAAAGTTTTTCGGTTTTTTAAAACATTTCTGTTTTCTGCACCGAGGTGTTCTTTTCTCAGACCTGTGGTTCTCAAAGAGGCATTTCTTCTTTTTTTGGAATGGCCCCTTTAGACAGCTATCAATTGATTTATACTCGGTTTAGTATGCCATTTCATAATGAAAAGATTCACTCAAGAACAACGTTTGGAAATCATCCAGTTTAATATTTAACAAGTTGACCACCGATACCGATTTCTACAAAGAAATTTTGTACAGCTCACTTTTTTTTAATAAACAAAATTGTCGCTTTTGGAGTGATGATAATCCACAGGACTGTATTGAGAGGCCGTTTCATCCTCAAAGAGTCACTGTTTGGTGTGCTTTATAGACAGAGCGTAGCCGGTCATAATTTTAGAGTTATTGGGGAACGCTATAGAGCCACGATTAATCGGAAGATGTTGAAGAGACGACCTTTTGGTTTGAACAAGGCGGCGCTACATTCCCACGTGGGACTATATTTTGTAGGATTATGTAAAGTCGCTTGCCTACGGAGTTAAACCCGAGACGATTGACGAGAATGTTGCTTACAAGACGGAACTCTTTTTGAAATTTTGACCTTAAAATTCCTTATGGAGCTCGTCATTTGTCTGATAAACTTGAGTTTGTGCCTTGTTTGTCGTACAAACAGCTATTTCAGTTGGTTAGTTGAGGACCATATAATGATGAAGCGGTGTTTACGCCAGTATACAAGTTGAGGATACGGTCTGAACGGGTTGTTATTCATATCCATCTTTGTAATGGTAGAAACATTTACAAGCGTAAACAAACTTTTAACTGTCACATTCAAACGTATGGGAGTACCGTTAAAGTGTACAATTTACGAAGTCTATTTTGTTTTTTCGAAGAAACCGCTTTTCTCTCTCCTCTCATCCGAAACCGTGTTGCCAATTCAAAATTTTCAACAACTGATTTCTGCGTTGGAGTAACGGTCATTAGTTTTGCTGGCTATTGTGTATCCGCGCGGGTGAGATAACGGGCCCTTGAATATTTCTACTGCATATATATACGGCTAGTTGTGGTTGGTAGTGGTACGCACCTACGTTGGAGTGGTTGCTCTAACGTACCTTGCTTTAGGCAACATTCGAAGGCACGGAAAGGTTTTAGAGAGGCAATAGTGAGAACATTGTCAGTGTCGACAGCGCGAGCCAGCGCTCTACCTTTTCACGACTTTCTTTATTGGCATTCAAAACCGACTGAAAGCAGTTTAAAATGGATAGCTAACGAGCTTTCGACTTGACCTAGATTTAAATACTGTACATAAACTAGACTTCCGCGACTTCGTCTGAATGGAAATTCAAAATGATTGTAAACAGTTTTTTTACTCGTTTTTATGTTCGATAAAATGTGAAAAATTTTTCGTTCATATATCAAGAAAAACGATCCTTTAATAGGATTTTTTTTGAATTGATCGGTCTCTTTTCATTTTATTAACCCAGGAAAAAATTGTCTTTATTCTGAATTCCAAGCAAAGGAAATCAAATATATAAATCTTCAAAGGTGTAATTAATCCAGGCACAGAGCTATTTTTTAGGAAATATTTATTAAACAAATCAACCCATAAATACAATCTTGTCGAATAGGTCGGACATGGGTCCACTCTCCGGAAGAAAATGTGTGTTTCCTGTGTAAATTTACAGCAGAAAGTACCGAGTTTATTGAAAATCAAACTATTGTATTTAAAAAAAAAAACGAGTTTTTCGAATAGATCGATTTCAGGTCTACTTCTCAGCTGCTTGCGTCATAGTCGGAACACCCTTAAAGTTTCAGACTTCTACGGTTTGTAGTGCAGATTGTGGGTTGATCTGTCAGTCATTCATGACAAAGCTTTCATACATATAAGAAATAGATTAATTGGATGGTAATTTCTGAATTTCATTTCGAATTGTTTTAATTATGAATATGTTTCTATTTGGAGAAATTTAACACAAAAATACTAAATATATAAAAAAGAGGGATTTCTTTGATATTTCGACTAATAGTTTTGCTGAATCTAAAATGTAGCAGTTATGAATATTTGTTGATGCGAGGTGGTTTGGTGGTTAGTGTGAAGTATCGAAACGGTGTAGAAAACAGAAACAAAAATACAAATAAAACTGGAAAGCGAAACTTAATTTTTTTCATATTAACAATTCAAAATATTGCAATACTCTCTAGGCTAAGCTCGTACACACAAACAATAACACAGTAATGTATGTAAAACAAGATATTATAACAAATTCAATGCATCCAAAATCCGAACTCTGAAAAATCCACTTTTATCACATATCAAATGCACAACAGAAAAAATACACTCAACATAGATACATATTTGCATTAAAAACATATAAACAAATACACATAGCTTAGAGCCCACCATTTTAGCATTGCCTCCATTCAGAAAATCCTTTCCTATTGGAATTATTGCAAGTGTATAAAATTGAAATAAATAAATGTCTGAGTCGTTTGAAAAACTATTTTATTTGAGATAAATCCTCAATCCTCACATAATTCGTGCTATTAAATTTCATATCTTCAAATATCTATATTTTCTTCTATACTATATACTATATATGTATGTATGTATCTCTACTTATTTAATTTTGTAAGATATTCCTATATCAATTTTTAAAATTACATAATATTTTCGAATCAATTTTCGTATGTACATATATTTATTATACATATATAATCAACATTATTTCAATAGTATGTATGCTTGTTAACACCTTATAAATTTACATATGTATTTGTATATACATTATTATCTATCTACAAGCATCAATTTGCCTATGAGTCTTACATATTTTTTTTCTTTAAATATCATACATACCCATGTACGTACATATATTTGTATAATAATGTATGTTTCATTATTATTTCCTCCTTATAGGACAATGAAAATGGTGCTCTACGCAAATTTTATAACGTCATAATGGATAATGGTGGCGAAGTGCTGACCGATATAAGCAATTTGGGCGAGATTACGATACTGGCACCGAGCAATGATGCTTGGGCCGCAAAAAGTGTTGAGAATAATTTGGGGTAAATAAGGAATTGATTGCCTCATTTGTGAATCTCTTAGTTAAATTAATTTGTTGATTTATGTATTTACAGTAATCGTGAGAAAGTGCGCAGCATTTTGAATATGCACATTATCAAGGGCAAATTGAATGTTGCACAAATTCACCAGAAAAACGCTAAGATGGTAAGTTGTTGAATGTATACTTATAAATTTGATATTGTTTATTAAATAAATAAATTCGAAATTATTCAAATTCTCATTCTCTTCACAGATTGCTCAGGTGCCAACTGTTAACGATCGTACATTTTTATATTTCAACATTAGAAATGAAAATGGCGAAGATGTCATCACTGTTGAGGGTGGTGGCGTTAATGCAACTGTATTGCAAGCGGATGTTGCTCAAACTAATGGTTATGTACACATCATCGATAAGGTACTAGGTATACCATACACAACTGTATTAGAAAAACTTGAAACCGATCCCATGATGAGGTAAACACCAATAATATTATTTAGTAAAATATGTACAATATTATATAATGAAATATATAATATAATATGATTTTAAGTTAAAAATAATATATATAAATATATATTACAAACATTTTGCTTAACAGCGATACCTTCAAACTGGGCCAATTTTCTGATTTCAACAATCAATTGAATAACACTAAGCGTCGCTTCACTTATTTCGTGCCACGTGACAAGGCTTGGCAAAAGACCAAACTGGATTATCCTTCTACTCATAAGAAACTCTTTATGGAAGACTTCTCCTATCATGTAAGTTGTTATTTTTTTTATATATGCATACAGGGTTATCCATTTTGCGGTTTCGATTTTTTTTTTATTAAAAAGTTTGTACCTTGGCGAATAAGTGAAACAATAAATCATTCAAATGATCGTCTGGCGAACAAACTTTGATGCGTTTGATGTAATTTTCGACCACATTTTGATCAGCTGGCTTCAGTTATTGTATGAGATGGACTTTATTTGAATGTAGGTGTGAGTGCAAGTGCAAAAAACTAGGTCCAGCTCTTGAGGTTGTCGAGTAATATGCACATTTTTGTAGTAGGTTTCAACAATTTCAATGCGTTGTGCAGTTGTTAAGTGACTAAGTTATAACTAAAACAAAAAATGTTTGGATAACCCTATATTATCAAAAGTTTTTTTTTTACTTACATTTTATTTTATTAATTCTTTTACAGAATATGATTAATATATTTATTATTTTTAAATTGCTTTATTTTGTTTTATTTTATTTGATTTTAATTTATTTTGTTTTGCTCTGGTTAATTCTTTTATTTTTTATCTCCTTTTTCCTTTATCTTTTTGCATTATTTATTAATCATTTTTATTTTATTATATTTCTTTTCATATCATTATTATATTTTTTTTATGTTTTTATTATTAAAGTCCATTTAACTTCATTTTATTTAATTTAATGAAATTTTATTTTGATTATTATTATTTTACCATATTTTATTCAATTATACTTTTTCTTTTATTTTATTTTCCCCCTATTTTATTTTTATTATTCCACTTTATTTATTTTAAATTATTTTACAGTTTACTTCTTATTCTCTTTGTTAATATTTTTATTTTATTTACTAAATATTTTAATTAATTTTATTTTTACTTTATTATTATTTTTTTTTTTGTATTTTATTATAATTTTTTTGATTTTCTTGTTTTATTTTTTTCGTTTCTGTTTTAATTTTGCTTTATATATTATAACAGTTATAACGTTATCCATATTATTCATTTGCTCATAAATAATGAATTATACAATTTATAATTTCAGTCACGCTCAATATTAGAACGCCACTTAGTGATTGCCGATAAAGTCTACACAATGAATGATTTGGTGGCCATGACAGCTGAATCTGGTGATTCCGTTTTGTTGCCAACTTATAGAGATTCATTGAAAGTGAAAGTAGAGGAAGAGGCTGGACGTAAGTAGATTATATTCACTGCATATAAATTTATTATGAGTATATGTATGTACGTAGCTCAAATGCATGTATCTAAAAAGCATGCTAATATGCAAGTACATATGTATGCATATATTTATATAAATATATATTTTTATGGTTTCAAATTAATATTATCTAATTGAAATTGTTTGCATTTTGCCTTTGAAACAATAATTTTTTCTCTTATTTTGCTTACGTGAAGATCTTCACGATGATAGTGGTTTAATAGAGTGGACTGGTGAGTGCGTAGGAATGACCATTGATACTCTTCCACTGCATTTTCAGTCATCAATATATTAAATAATAATTTCACAAATTTTCGCTTGATTAATTAATTTATTATGCAAAAATATTTCCCCATTTTTTGTGAATTTAGACATTTTTTGTTTTCAAATGGTTTTATAAAAAACAAATATTTTACGAGCTAGTTCTTGGGATTTCCAATTTTATTGAAGGCGCTGAAGGTACACAAAGAGCTGAAAAATTTTTAAAAATTTTTTGTTTCTTCGGGTAATGGTAAAACATAGAGATCTGAAGTTTGTTGTGTTAAAAAAAAAATGGTGGTACCAACTTTTCCTGAAATGGTGATCCAGAAGCCTTTCTGTTGAATCGGTCAAAGAAAGATTTCCGATTACTTGTCGTTCTATGGTCTTTGCAAAGACATTTCAGAAAAGTTCTTATTGTGAATGAAAAATGATTTGAGAGAAGAATAAGCAAATGCTAATTTATGAATTTTAAGTGGAAAAAATGGGCGTGGGTAACTTTTAAACGAATTCAAAACCAGAAATTCTAGAACGTTTTTCTGACAAGAAATTCTTTGACTTGCATCCAACCGCGAACTTAATTTTCATTAATTCAAACAACTTTCTATAATTTTTGGTTGTTGGTCGAACACTGACTGGAACGCCGATCTTCCGAATGGCAGTAAGTAATGCTAATCACTCGGCTATCACAGCCGCCAAATTCCAATATTTAATACTTCATTTAATGCAAAGTAAGGTTGGGTTATATGAATGTTTTAGGTTATATAATTGCAAGTAAATTCTATCCTCCCAAAATAGCAATTAATAGTTTTTTATCACTTCCATCCATTCCTATTATTTAAAGCATCTACACTGAACATAGATCAAGTACTCATATCTAAAATATTTTATTAATATAGTTTTTGTTTATAATAAAAAATCAAATTCATGTTCCTTTACAGGCTATGTAATCACTTGGAATTTCAAGAAGATCAACGTCTATCGACCGGATGTTGAATGCACCAACGGCATAATTCATGTCATCGATTATCCCATGCTGGAGGAGCGGGATGTTGTCGTTAACGGAGGTAGTTATCCGTTAGGAACTAACATGTGCATACTCTTCACAAATACCCTCATCATAGCAATAGCGCAATTTCTTTTCTTAAATAATTAATTATGTATAAATTAACTCAAAACAAAAACAAAACGCAAAAAAAAACAACAAAAACGCTCATTTTAAATGAGAAAAAATCAAAAAAAAAAAGCGAAGAAAATAAAACAAAGCAAAGCCAAGTGAGCATATTTTCACACACACACACACTCACTTGCAATCAGCGTTCATAAAGCTAGCAAAAAATAAGCGTTATCATCACATAATTTCTAAAATATCACCATATTTGCCTGCCACATCATTTATGTAGTTCAGCATACAATTTCGTGCATATGATTCACATGTAACACAAATATGTATGTCATTGAAGCATGAATGAATACATATTTATATGTATGTAGATATTGGCAAAATAGAATGCATTCAATAATTTTGGCTGCTGAAGTGCGAAATCCAAATGTAATTCGTATTAGATTTCAACTTTGAATGCAGCGACCGCTGACTTTGTGTTATTAAAGAAAAACTGAAATCTATAAATGGGAAAAAAAAACATCATCATCGGCACTTACACACACAACGAAACGTAAGAAATTTTCACATGTATTTATGTAAACAACTTGTGACCAAAGAGAATCAAATTTACATTAATAGTTGTGTATTAATGGCATTGAATTGCCTTGTGCGAAAATCATGTCCTCATCACATCGTACATACACATGTATACATTTATATTACGCATTAAGTTTATTTGTGTGTACATAGAAAAGATATAAAATTGGTATGACATACATACAAAGTTTTTTCTTATAATTTAATTAAATTTATTTTAAGTATTTTTTTATTTCCGATTTCCGTCTTTTTATTAGTATTAGTAGATTTTCTTATTAACCAATCTTCTATTTATGTATTATGGTATGCTCTAATGCAGCGCAGAACGCCTATAAATATGCAATGCCGTCTGTGTTGTGCGAAATCATTGTAAATTAGCATTGAATGAAATTAAAAAACAAAAAACGTCATCTATAAGTGCTAGTTAAAATTATAAATATTGTAATTATGTACATTTACTAATTTTATAATTCATGCAGAGCATACGGTTATTTAAAATATAACTATTTTTAGTTCATTTTAATTTTTTTACATTTAATTTATGGTACTTTTTAGTCACATTGCTTGCATATGTATGTATGTAAGTTTAATATATCTACATAACTAATTTAAAAAAAAAAAAGTTGCCTTAAGTTGAATTGGTTTATTGAAAAAAACATATATATATATAATTAAAAGAAAAAAATAAAAAAAAAAATTGAAAATATTTTTAAAATTTGTAGTTTTGCTTTAATACAATTATATTTAATTTTTATTATTAATTCGCCACTTAAGAAACTAATTCATGTTTATTTTAAAGAAATCGTAAGCAAAATGATAGTTTACTTTAGGTAAAATCAAATAAACATATAAGTATCCAAACGCATCGGAAAGTGAGTAGAAAAGCAATATTTCTTAATTATTTGAGCAATTCATGAGCTAAATACCATTTGAATGAGAACTAAAAAACTTCGTCCATTAAATATTCGATACTTACTAAATACGTACATGTTACATAAATTCCTATATGCCTAATTGTATGCTACTGATTTCGTTTTCTTTCACTCAAACTCATTAAGAGTTAAGTGATTTCAAACATTCGCATGAAATTTCAAAAATATGCTTTTCGTGATTTTTTGAATGAGTAACAAAATAATACTGTTCAATTTCACATAAATTTTACAAATTAAGGCACATAATCTCATTGTTGTAAACATATTCATTGCTGTGCTATACATCATCAATACCAAAATCATCAAAGTTGAAAATATTTCATTAGAAATAATATAGAAGAAAAAACTGCCGAATTTCATTCCATTCAAAATTAGCGTAGAAATTACATTACTCTACTTTTTATCGGCTTTTAGCAATGGCCATACGAATGTTTAGGTTATATAACGACTCATTGACATTGCCATTTACATGAAATATAAAAATAAAATTAAAACAAAAAAATTGTAACTAACAGTGTTGTCTTTAATATTGTAGTTAAAATTCCATTTTGCTTAGTGTAAATGAATACTTTATTGAAATTTTCTCAAAGTTTTCTTCATACCATTAACAATACAATTTAGTGAAGAAACATATTTGACACGGCTTATACTTAAATGCTGTCGTTATCTACTTAGTGTTTTTTTTTTTAATTGTATTAAATCATCTACGTTGTTTAGATGCGCTTTAAGCAAATGCTGCAGGTTTTCTATAGATGTTTGGCAGAGTTACTTAATTGTTTTGCTTCATAAAATATTTGTGATCCATTCCTCTTCGTCGCTCTTGGCGTAGGCAATTAATTTATTTAACATCCATTACTTAAAATTAAATAGGGAATTATGAAAATTCATTTAATTTTTTATGGTTTTATTATAATATTAACTATTATTTTATTTTGATTTCATTACATTTAATTTTATTTATTTTTTTTTTTTTATTGTTTTATTTTATTTTATATAATATAATTTCGTTCTACTTTACTTTGCTGCACATTATATTGTTGTACTTTTTTTTGCTTCTATTCTCTTTTATGTAATTTTATTTTATTTTAATATATATATTCTTTACTTTTATTTATTTTTAATTAGTTTTACTTAACTTTTTCCTTAACTTTTTTTTAATTTAATTTATTTGCATTGTTTTTAAAGTTTTTTCATTTTATTTCAGTTTTGGTGTTTTTTTCATCATTTTTTTAGTTTTTTTTTATTATGTTTTAATTACATTATTGTACTTTGTTTTATGTATTTTTATTCCATTTAATATATATATTTATTAAGTTTCAATTAATTTTACTTAACTTTTTCCTTAATTTTTATATTTTTTAATTTTATTTATTTGTAATGTTTTTGTTTCATTTTATTTCAGTTTTTGTATTTTTTTTATTATTTTTGAAATTCGTTTTTTTTATAACATTTTATTTACATTATTTTACTCTCTTTTATGTAATTTTATTTAATTTTAATTTACTTTCTTATATCATTTTATTCTATTTCATTTCAAATTATTATATTCAACGTTTTTCTTCACATAAAATATTTTTAACTTAATTTATATTAATTGCTTACTTAATTTATTCATTTTTTATTAAAAAAATTTTATTTATTTTTTAAAGTTAATAATTTATTTTTATTTTATTTTGGGTTACTTTATTTTCTTTTGAATTATTCTGTTATGCGTTTTTTTTGTTCTTTTAATTTTATTAATTTTATATTTTGTTCTTTTATTTTATTTACATATTTATTTATTTTATGTTATTTTGTTTTATATCAATTTAATCTTTTTATTCTACCATTCTTTAATTTCAGCTAACCTTATTTATTTTTAATATTTCCTGAATTTTTATTATCTTTCATTTAATTTGATTTTATTGTATTTTTTTCAATCCATTTCTTTTATTTTCATTTTATTCTATTTGTTTTTTTCTTTACTTTTTATTTTTTTATATATTTATTTTTATATCTTTTATATAATTTCTGCTTTGCTTTGTTTTATTTGTATTTATTTAATTTTATTTTATTTTCATAAATTATTTATTTAGTGAAGTGTAATTTAATTTTAGCTTATTTTATTTTGTTTTATATCATTTTAACTTTTTTATCTTACCATTCTTTAATTTCAGCTAACTTTTGATTATTTTTGTTTAACTTTTTCTTCAATTTTTTATCTATAATTTAATTTGATTTTCTTATAATTTTTTCATTTCATTTCATTTTATTCTTTTGATTTTTAATTTTCTTTTTATACGTATGTGTATATATTTATTTTTTAATTTTATTTTATTTTATTTGAAGTTATAGTTTCACTTTGTTTAGTTTCATTTTGTTTTATTCTAATTTCTTTTATTTAGTTTCATTTTTTTTATTTAAATTTTTTTTTATTAATATTAATTTTTTTTACTTTACTTATCTTTAATGTCAGTTAATATTTTTTGCTTTTATTAAATTCTTTTGCATAATTTTTTATTTCATGTTATTTTATTTTATTATATATATTTTTATTTTATTTTGATCAATTTTTTTATATTATTCTTTTTTTATTTTTTATTATTTTATTTTACTTTTTTTTATTATTTAATTTTTTTATTTAACTTTTCGTCATCACACCGCAGTGTCTTAATATTTTCTTAGAAATGGAAACTCCTCACGGTTAAAGAAGATTAATAGATAGTTTTATACCTTTATTTTGGTGTGATTGCATTAAGTGTTATTTTTAATATTCCCTTTTTTAAATTCCTGGCTTACACGACTTTTTACGATAGAACGAAACTGTTAAAAAAATCTTCTTTTTTTTATAAAATTCATTCATTAATGCATCTTCATTGTAAAAACTCGCCTTGCCTGTACATTTGTGGAACAAAGAAGTCATAATTGTAATAATCATTATATAATATTAGAAAATGAAAATACAAATACAACACAAGTATAAACGGTAGTTTGCTAGTAAAATATTGTAGTGGTCTGGCATTACATAACCGCATAAGCATTATTTGCAATTAACACCTATTAAAACCAATATTTGTATATAATTTTAACAACAACAACAAAAACAGCAACGACAACATTATAATAGCAAACATGACAACCGCTAACCGCTAACTACTACTTTAGTACTCACTTGTAGTGACATACATACATCCCGTTATGAAATGATCTTGTAGAATAAACAATAATTTTGAATATATATAAACATAATAGTCAAAATCATAACCAAAACAAAACTAAAAAAATATAAAAAAAAAAAATAATAAAAACCAAAATTCCACAAAGTCCAATTCTACCATCTAACGAAAACAACTTAAATATGCGATCAATAATGAACAATACTATGCTATTATACCTTATATATTTATAGGTTAGGCATTAAACCTACTTAGGAACCTTCAACTACTACACTACATAATCACATTGTGTAGGTAAAAACATAGCGCAGTTCAAACTGTGTCGTTGATGTGTGTACTGTACTCTCTACCATATTTCTCAGTTCACATTCCGTTACTGTTCAACAACATTGTTACAAAATGATTACGATCTGTTTCCTTTATAATTGATACATCTACTTCTACTTCTACAACTGCAATAATACTATTACTTGTTGTATTTGTATTATGTATAGTAATGGTATTTAATAAAATTGAAGTTAAACATTAAAATTGTTCAAATATAAAAAAGTAAATAATAATTATTAAAAAATAAATAAAAAATTAAATGCAGTAAATATTTGATAACAACCACAAATTCAGTAAACACTTACAAGTATATACATATATGAGAAATTAGTTAAGCAAAAAGTTATAAAAAATATACAACACTAAATAAGTAAATTTTGAATAAAGTAAAAAGCGCATATTATGCTCATTAACCAATGTTGATGCCAACATAATTAAGTAGTTAATATAAATGTAATAACTAAATGACAACTTCATTTTAATCTAATAGTATTTAGCCTACATTTAATGTGGTGTTTGCACTGTAAGTTTCGCAGTAGATTCAAAGAAACAATTTAAGCTAAAGCAGAGTATACATATTGACATATTGATGGTGTGTGGTAAGCTCGCTTAATCATAAATATTATCTAAATAATGTACAAATTCATTCAGTAGCTGTAGCTTCATTTTCGAGTGAAAAAAGCATAATAATAAATTTAAGTAAAATTTAATCAAATATGAGCATTTCTCACTCACACGAAAACATTTTGACAGTCAAAAGGTCACAACTGACGTCACATTTGAAAAACTGAACTATTTGACAGTTCATTCGTTCTTGTATTAAATAAGAGTTCACATTAAATTATAAAAATCTGGTATTCTTTTGCAAAATTTATGAGTAAATATTGAAAATAACGTAAGGAAATTGACGAAGTCACACGCTTGACATTGAAGCGCATTTGAACTTAGCTGTCAAAATGTAGCCGTTACGCAACGCAACGCAAAGTAAACACTTCATCTGACATGACCTTAAAACGATATGCGAAGGTTAATAGTCCTTCTCGCTAAGCTGAGGAACACTGACAATTGTTAACAATTTTTACTGAACTCGTACGGTGAGGCGAAAAGACAGTAAAATTTGAGAATAGCGCATTTTTCACATTTCATTACTGTCTAATTCTTACTGACATTTCTCATCGAGCAGCGCTAATAACAGGGTTTACCAGAAGAGGTGAGTTGTTTTTAGTGAGTCAAAGTCTCACACTGGCAGAGTTAAGGGGTTATATAGGTCTTGAAGGCAAAAAAAAAAGAGCTTGGTTTCTCTAATTTTTCAAAAGATACTAAACAAAGTATAAAATGTTTTTTGTTTATATATAAAAGTACAATATGTGAACAACATTCTATAAAAATTTGAATGAAAAATAGTATAAGTTAAGGCGTTGGCAGTGTCGTGATCCACAAGAAAGTGCTTTCGCGGTAGTCGTGATAACTCTTTTACTTTATATCTGAAATCAAAAATCCAAATTTTTTCTTTAAGTAGGTGAACCTTCCTTAACCCTGAACGAAGAAGAATTTTAAAAATTAAAAATTTAATTTTTCGTAGACCTTTTACAAAAAACGTGATTTTTGGCATAAGATTCGGCCACATATTGGCTTATAAAATGAGTTGGAATCAAAGGTAAAATAAATTCTACGTTCAGGTACTACAAAAAACATGCTTAAAAGAAGTGTGGAAAATTTGAACTCCATCGCTTCAATAGTCGTTGAGAAATTTTGACTAACCATTTCGTTAAAGTGGTTTTAAGAAAAAACGTGTTTGAAGTCAAGGCGTTCGGTCAAGCCATGACAAAGACGGCGGGTTATAAAGCTCTCTAATTTCTACAGTTTCGTCTCGATCGACTTGAATCTTTTTGAAAATATTCCTGACACTCTCTATTTTTATACAAAAAAATGAATTTTTTGAAGTTTCAAGACCTATGTAACCCCTTAAGGCTTTCGATGCTTTCCATTTTTACTAAACAAGAACGAAACATGACATTCACACAAACGTGACATTCGTTAAGATTTAAAAACAAGGAATAAAGAAAGTTTTTTTTTGTCAAAAGTTGTATGATTTTAAGTTTTGTAAATGAAACTATGATTTTCACCAACCCAAAGGCAGAGTTTTTCCATTTCGAAAGATTTTCAAAAGAAGCGGCATTAATGAGATTGCAGGTACTTTGTCTCGGAAAAGGCACAGTATAGGGCTTTTCATAACAAGTTACAACGATAAGTAGCTTAAGCTGTTTATAAAAGGAAAATTCGCATTTTATACCAGTGAGCGTAGCAATGCTTCTACCAGATTGTATTTCCAAAGAGTGACAGAGAAAATAATGGTTTATTAAAGCTGGGCAATCCATGATTGGAAGTCTTTAAGGTTTTAGTTTTATGTTTAAACCTTCTGTAGCTTCCAAATATTCATTTTATAACTCTTTAGGCAACTGGCAACTGTTAAGTAAACAATACTTCCAAGGCGGCTTACTGAAACTCATAGTGTAATTGGGCTTCTCTCAACCACACTTATCTTGTCTGCAGAAACATCTGTTTGTTAAGCCCAAAAAAGTTGTCTAGTGTTAAACAAATCAGTGGAAGAGTCAAATCGTCCATTATGTTGTATGGCGTTTCAGGAAAAATATGTTTTACACGCTTTAAGGACAGCTTGGAGAAGTTAAGGTAGTCTCCTATATTGAAATGAAAACAAAATTGTAATAAAAGTTCTGCCTTCATTGTGCTTTCAAAGCTTGAGCAACAGTCGAAAACTTCAAATGAAAGCTTTAAAGAGTAGTGAAAGTGCCGGCTTTTGTAGCTTTAAAAAACTATAATAAAATATACTTTCAATCAAAACAAATATATTTTAATTCTATGATTGGTTGCACGTAGATCGAATGCAATTTTTTCTCAGTCGTCTGTATTCAAAGTTGCAATTCGGTTCTCAATACTTGTAACTGTATAAAATGAAATGTTTTTGATTACAATTAGTTAAATATACATAAATTCAACTTGTTTTGCCTTTTCAATTCAGTCTTGTCTCGGAAGGTATTAATTTAAAGCGTAAAAAAGAAAGAAACAAAAAAATGTTTGCATGAATCTAATTTTTAAAAAAGAACTACAACAACATTTTAACAATAGTAGAAATTTTATATTTAAATATAAACAAAAATGCGTTAATACACTACTTTAAAAAAATGTATTTAAATCAGTAAATTTATATCAAAGTATGAAGGTAGAAAAATAACTTGAAGAAACTGTAAGAGACGAAAAAGAAAAAACCAACCACTGACGCTTTCGACAAGCTTTTGTGGCTTTAGGCATATGTCATAAGTGGAAAACAAATATAATAAATAATAAAAGTGAAAAATGTATGACTAAGGAAAATGCAAAACAAAAACAAAACAAAAAAAACACAAAGTGGTGTATTATATTTCAGATAAATATGTATGCAAAAGTTATTGCTGTAGTCAGTAGTTACACGTTAAGCTCATTAAGGACCACACAAGGTAAACTTTTAACATCAAATCATCCCGCCACTTTTAAACACAACAACAAAAGCACACAAAAATGATTTATACAAAAATTAAAAGGAAAAAACATTTCAGTTTTAGATGAATACCATTTAAAATTAATTTGAAAACATACTATAATACCGTTATATTCGATTTCTGTAAACACAAAAATTCATAGACATAAACACACACACACACACACACACAGACACACACAAGTATGAGAGACCCCCAAGGACCTGTAGCTGGTACATTTAATTAATTGAATTGTATAGACGAAAAGCATAGAATGTACTCGTATATGTATGTAGTTGTGTAGAAGATACCACTACTACACGCACATGTGTATGTATGTATAGGAATCGGTCATTATACATTAACTGCTAATATGTATAACAATAACAGCAACAACAACAAAATTAACGTGTAACTAGTGCCTTACTAAAGTTTAACTAATTACCTTAACCTTAACCTAAAATTTATTTAAAAAAAATAAAATAAAATATAAAAAAAAATAAAGAAATATTAAAATTTAATTTAATGCTAAACGAAATTTATTTTATTAACATAAAAACGTAATGAAAATTATGTATGCCTAATCAACACTTTGTAGTATTGCCAGCTTACAAATCAACAAAATATGGTAAAAATTAATTTAACAACAAAATAAAAAAAATAAAAATAATAATATTAAAATGTCTTGGGCATGTCAAGTGTTTCTGCGTAAAACAAACAAGAAAAAGAAAACTTAATAATAATTACTAAATTACATATAAAATAATATACATACGAGTATATAAAAGCTACATACTAACATAGATTAAGAGAGCATATTTAAACAAAATAAATTAATTTAATTATATTTTATTAGTCTACGTAGAATAAAACTAAAAGCTTTCCTAACAAATTTAAAAACAAATAAGAGTTACGAAAATATGTGCATATGTATGAAGTTGGTGATATTAAAATAAAAAAAATCCTTTTGAGCTGGGTAAACTTCGTAAATTCGCGTACAGCACGAAGAATTTCAAACTTTGCTGTAATGAAATTTTGAAACATCTATCATAAGCATTATTTTACAAATTCTAATATTTTATGTCCAATTGTGCACATTTTTTATGCTCTTAAACAAATTTGAAAAACAAAACATACATACATATGCACATATTTTAAGAAAGAGAAAACTTCAAGCATACAAATGCAAGTAGGTGCAGTCAAACTTTTTGCAGTCAGTGTAGCACGCCGCGCCTCCTTCAGTAAGCAGATAATAATATATAAAAAAAGAGTAATTAATTTGGAAAGAAGCATACAAGAGCATATACACCCCACAAAAATTAAAGCATATATTTATTGAAAAATATATTTAAAATGTATTAAATAAAAGAAGGAAAATGTGAAAATAAAAACAAAACAAAAAATAAGTACTAAGCAGAGTTAAAAAATATAGAAATGAAAAATTGTACAATTAATAAATTGAAATTGCAAGAAATTATGAAACAAACTATTCATTAATTTGCTGCTTAATTACCATTACATACATATTTACCTGCAAAATGTGTCTACTTTTTTAATTAATTAAATGAAATCTTTGCGTTAGAATTGAAAATTAGATACAAAAGTGACGATTTGAAAATATAATAATAATCATATAATATAAAAGAAAAACTAATTTGTGTACACGCTTGTGAAATGACTAAAAGTGAACAGATATATACATACATATATTAATAAAGAGAATTTATAAATTCTAAACTGTTGAATTTTTATTCATTTTTATTGATTTATTATTATTAGATTATTTTTTATTTATTTTTTTTTTTTTGGTGAAGGTAAAGGTAAGCACATTCAATACCTTTTTAAAATGAAATATGAAAAAACAAACTTTAAAAGGTCCTCAATGACTTAAAACCGAGTACAAATCTCAGCTCTAGCGAATTGAGACGAAATTGTTTCGAGTTCTCGCATACAACCCTGGAAGTTGCTTATTGTGAATGAATAAAGGATTAAAAGAATATATACATATATAATTATTATTACAAAAAAGTCTTAAACGGAACAAAAGGTAGAGACTCCGATGGTAATAACTTCAGTAGAAATAGTTGAGTTTCGTGATCAAATATACATACATGCTTTCAATATACAAACTCGTACATATGTACATATTTGTTTTTGGCTCTGTAAGTATAATATATAAATATGCATATAAATCTATAAATAATTAGAACTTTGTAAGCGCTGAGGCGAATTCCGGCCGAGCTCCTCTTAAAATTTGTGATTTTTGCTTCTTGATGTTTTTTTCAACAAATGGAGGGTCTTAAAATTCTTACTGAGTCCCCGCCGAACGGCTGATGGTTTTTTTGCGAAAAGCCTTTATTTCATGTCATAAATACAGTCGGAGAGCTTGACATTCCCTGCCGAGAGGCGACCACAATTAGAAAATGTAACTTTAATTTTTTTGTTCAAATTAATTTTCAATATCTTTTGGATGTCTGTCGAACCAGGACTCGAACCCTGGCCCTCCGAATATCAGTTCGCAATGCTAAACACTCGGTTATCGCTGCCGGTTCTATAAGTAATATTTTTGAATATCTCAGTTTCAAAAACAAAAGTTTGCACCATGACATTGAAAATGAAACACCGATCATACAAATGGCTGACTCGCGAATTTTCACAAACTTCGATCCACTTCGGGTAATTTTTAACCATTTTTTTTTTTGTAAATATTGGGTGTGTCTCAGCCAAAACTTGACTAATTATGGTTTTCAAGCCCTCAGTAGTTGGAGGTTTGTCCGCTTAATGATAGTGATTCGCGTAGCCCTACAAAAAAATTCCAACAGTGTCAAATGGCACGATCTTTTTGGCCAATTAATATGGACAAGATGAGAGATTTCTGGGAAATTGTTCTCATAATAAAGCCATATATGCACGTGTTGTTTGAAATATGGCATCGTCTTGTTGAAACCACAGATGTTCCAAGACGTTCTCTTCAACTGCAGGTCAAAAAAACGTCGGTATCGGTATCATACTGTTGCGAAAATGCGAGGCGAATGTCAGATGAAAGAGAGAAGCCGATAACTAGTACGTTCTAGAAACGATAAAACAAGAACCTTCCATAGCGAACAATTCGATGCTTCTACGCTTTCGTCTGCGAGCAGCCGACTGCTATATAAAGGCGACACTCAGCTGCAAGTCAAGTTAGTGACAAAGCGAACTGGTTGGCGTTAACATCAGTGAAGTCGTAAAGTGAACGCGTTGGGAATTACATTTAAGTAGAGTAAATTGTGAAAGTTGATGCAAGTGATTGTAGCTAGTAAAGTGTCTTATAATTGAATTGTGAATTACGGAGTAAATAAAGGACATTAGATCAAATCTTTATAACGAAAGATACTGCAAACAAAGTTGGCGAGTTTTATTTAACAATCCAGAGATCGTACCCGAAGGATTTAGGAAATCATCGAGGTTGATTTAGTAAAATCGTAACAATACGATCATAACGTTCCAAACGGAACGTGGCAGTCTTGCCGTTATCGTTTTCCATGACGTAAGATCTAATCACATTTCCGGACCAAAGACCGCACCAGACAGCATGTTGTATTTTTGTTTAATTACGTGTGCCCGGGAGAGGAATGTTCCTAAACGTTGTAGAAATTTTTATTCAAAAAATTCAAAATTAAGGATTCAAAAGTAAATATTTTACATTATAAAATGCAAATATTGCGAAGAAATATCATGCCCGAAAAGTTTCTCACTGACCGGCTGACTTCAAATGCTTGAAACGCCTATACAGCTTAAAAATCTATGAAAACCTCAACGCCTGAATTAACGGTGTGGAAGTGCAGATGGAAAGTCTCAGCAATCTAAAATTTTATTGCAGCTGGCATCGCTTTTTTAGCGCTGTTCGCTTTTATTGCTGTTTGTGTGGCAAAACGAAAAGCTGGTGAAAACAAAAAGCAAAAAAACAATCATTACCGTATATTCCCGTAGGTGCGTTTCACATATCGAAATTTATAGTCATACATATATTTCTTAAATACCTTTTTGTAACAATTATAATAATAAGCTCTAACAGTAAAAAAATTCTGACTCAAAGATATAAAGAGAAAGAGCAATTTATTTAACTGTATTTACCTATAAAACAAGAAAAATCATAATTAATTAAGGAATTATCTATGAATTTCATGTTAATTGCAATGAGTACGGACGATATTGCTATATATTCCCAAAATAAACCAGCAAATCACTTACAGATGATAAGGATTAGTTCGCACATGTTGTATTAAATTGCAATAAAAAAATCAACTTCTTCGAGCTACTACTTTTCTCCGAACCCTTATTTCTATTGCCATCTGGCATCCCTAAAATAGTATTTGTGCAAAGCAATGAGAGAAAAGCGAGAGAAATATCGGAAAATTCTGCTTGATGGTGGAAAATAGAGTATTTATGCATTTATTTTGATATGCAGTGAACTGAAAACGGTGTAAAATGCAATTCCATATCACATTATTCGCAAATGCAAAAAGTGATACAGAGTGAATGTGTCTTTAAACCGAGTGTAGCTTCTTCTGGTGCACTGCATCGGCACTATTAACTGCATTCATTATAACAACAGCAACGGTGCCTGTGGCGCTGACGATAGTGATAGTGTTTTTTTGAAAACAAGGCGGTGATTTAGAATTCAGATTTTACTTGGTGCGGTTGTGTAAGAAAAAATAGTGAAATAAAGTAAAAAAAAAATCATATCAAGAAAAACAAATAATTGAGAACAATCGCAGTGTAGTAAGCAGAGTTAGCGGCAGAGAGCGGAGCAATAAAGTGTGTATCATCAAAGCGGACTACGTGACCTGCAAACTGCAAACATGAGAAAACGCACGTCTGACTATTACAGCTCCGATACGGAGCAAATGGTGCCCACAGAGGATAATGGTATTAAGACTAATTTAAGTGATGAATATCGAGATATATTTATAATGCGTCCGTTGGTAAAGGACAACGCTGACGACAGCTTTAAGGAGGCAATACGGTTGTATGATACTGGCAATGAAGAGGTGAGTGTGATCATGATAGTTCGTTGAATGTTGGTGGAAAAGTTGCGATTAGTGCCAACATACATATTCGACTAGAACTAGTCGGGTTGATGGTGTAAGATATGTGTATGTGGGTGTATATGAGTAAACATGTAGGAATCTAGGTCATTTATGATTTACTAATCCATCTAGTTCTAGCACAAGTAGTATAATTAATAGAAATTAAATTTTTCATATTTTTTGCTTACTAGGTGCAACAATTGTTGCTAAGGGAATGTAGCCTGATCTATGAGTGTAGAATGTGTCGCAATATGTTCCGTAGTCTGAAGCAGTTCATCGGTCATAAAAGAGAATTCTGTCGCAGCGCTGTATGCGGCAACGTTGACAAAACTGAAGGCGATAAATACAATGGATTCTCCGTAAGTAACTGGCTCAATGTACAAATTTTATTATAAAATGGCGCTGATGCAGATTTAATCTTACATTTTTTTTTTTGTAATGTGGTTTATTTTTTCTCATACAGAACGGCAATGTAAATGTGACCAAACAAAATTGTAATGACAATAAAAATGATGGAGCGGTATCTGTTTTGCCAACAACTGATGAGGCTGTGAAACAGACCAGAACATTATGTGAAAGTAATGAACTTATAGATGAAAAAATACCTGGTAATTTCATATCAAAGAAATATTTTCTTAGTTATACATACAAAATAAGAACATAACCGCACATATAAGCATGCATACATATGCAAGCATGTATTTACATAAGTACATTTGTACCTCCATCGTGTATGGTATTGGTATATGGGAGTTTACTGGGGGTAGTGTTAGTAATATCATTTGTTATTTTATTTATGTGGCGTACAGGTGTATGTATGTAAGTATGGATGCGTTTAATATATTTATATACATGCAAAGTAAATATAGAATGTCATCTGCTATAGCAGGAAATGCATATTACAATGCTTCAGACAGACTTTGCCTAAACTGATTTTTCAAATTTATGTTATTTAAACGGTTAAAAAGATCTTTAAATCTCTTTGGAAGCTTCTAATATTTATACAAATTTTTGTCATAACTTAACATTGTATGTATGTATGCTTGCTTAATATTGGATGTTGTGATTGCGTAACGGTTTGTTAATCGTGCAAGTTCTTCCTCAAGCATGTGATCAAATTATTTAGTTGCTGCTGTAATAGCATACCTAGCTCACTCAAGTTTGTTGTAGTGTTCGGTATTTTTGTAAGGTCATTTAATGGGCGGCGTAAATTCTAATGTGCTAAAGTTTGATATATGAAGTTTGGATACATGAAGAAACTATGTATTTTTGTTTTCAAATAAGCTTGTTACAAACATTTGATTCCTTTTATAGGCATTCACCAAAAGACATTGATGGAGCAAAATGATGATGAAAAGATTAAAAATATACTGGCATGCCCACAGGAGAATTGTATGTTGAATTTTTCCACAACCAAAGACCTTGAACTACACTTCTCACAAGATCACACGTAAGTATTGCACCTAAATTCTTAGTATATAGAGATAAATAAATTATAATTTTCTTATCTATAGTAAAACAATAGTATTTCCAACATTTTCCGAGCAAAAAACGGAACAAAAAACACAAATCATGCCTGAAAATACAATGCAAACTAGAGCAAAGCGCATGATGTCGAATAATATTCACAGATGTGAACATTGCGGAAAGACTTTCGAACGTTTGGAACCGCTCTCTACGCATTTAATGCATTGCCCAGTAAAGCATAATATTTTGAGTCAAACACTTGCTGCAGGATCAATTGAGACGTCCGCAACAAAGCGCATAAAACTGCAAGCCTCAACAGAAAGTTTACCAGAGAAAGAGCCCGCTACAGAGATTTGCAATGGCGTTGTTGTGGATGAGCCGGAGAAGAAAGTAACAGCCCAAGCGCTGGTAACCGCTGATACAAACTTGCAACCCAATGCGATTGTAAAGCAGGAATATGTTGCTCAGGAAAGCAGCACATCAAACAATACAAACATTTTGATAAAGAAAAGGAAATTGAAGAATCGCAGAGTTCTTGGACGTATGTATTGCCTGAATAAAATTTTCTCTTCTTATCAATGCTTAGTTTCACTAAATAATACATTTCTTCTTTTGTAGCCAAAATGACGGCAGATAGCTGTGCTGTTCAGATAAAACAGGAAATTTGCAGTGCAAAAATCAAAACAGAATATAGCGCCGGTAGTGATGGCAGCGATGTGGAGCCGAAAAAATTACTCTCCACTTGCACGTATTGTGGCAAGTCCTTTGAGCGTCGCGCCGCTTTATCAACACATTTGCAACATTGCCCAGTAAAGTATAGCGTGCTGGAAAAATCTACGATCTATGGTATGACCACAAGCACGAAACGTTTGAAACTACATTCAACTGCAGAAAAATCTCCAAAAGATACGCGTCAAGAAAATGGCGCATCAAGTATTGCTGAAGATCCAGATACAGAGCTTTTGAATGAGATGTTTGCCAATTTAGGTAGGCAGGACTTCGGTGTGGGCTTGCAGACAGTTACAATTGAACAAGATGACTCAACAGTTTCCGGTACTGACGAAGCCAAAGAAGAAGATTTTGCCCAAATGGACAATTTCCAATTGAGTACACCAACTGAAGAGTTCGCCGAAAACTTGCCAGCGAATGAAAGCTCAACAAACGTTGAACTTTCTACCAGTGCGTCAGCAATCGAGAGTTCGCCTGATGCAAATGAAGAAGATACCGATAAGAAGGCAACACGACGCGTGCGCCTAGCGCCAGTGGAGAAGCGCTTGCTGTGTCGCTGTAAGATCTGCTATAAGCAATTTAATGCTCTTAGTAACCTGCGTCGTCACATATCAATGTTTCACTATCGGGCACAACGTTTCGGTTGCACCCTTTGCGAATATCGTGCTTTCCGCCGTTACGATATCGTTAATCATTTAGGCAATACACACGGCATGCAGGGTGACCCTGAAGCGATGTCAATTGAATTTGTCTCAGAACACGAGGTCAACTATAGTCGCGAGGATGTTGAGGGTGACATAGTTGTGCTCGATGAGAGCAAAACCAATTTGAGCACGTTAAACGAATTAAACGAAGATATTGAGAACAACATTGAAACTAGGCAAAATCTGAAGCGTCTAAAGCGCAATAAATCTACTACTCCAGTCTCAAGTGAACTTGCTGCCACAATGGGTAAAGTAACAAGAACCAAAATCAAACGGTCACAATCGCAGCAGGAAACATGCGTTGCCGGCAGTAGTGGTGGTGTAAAAACTCCAGCTAGACGGCCCATACGTAATCGTATCAAGCCGGAGAATAAAGACTTTGTATATGATCTCTCCAGCCTGTTGAAGAATGAAAGTGCAACAGATGCGCCCGATGATACAACAACTCGTAATCTAAGACGGCGCAATAACATGCAAGGGACAGCGACTGAAATTGCTACGCAATGCCTGGAGCCGTTGCTAGGACCTGTCAGCACATGGGCTGCTATACGTGGTGCGGCGCAACGTTTGGCTGCAGCTATTGTGAGTAGCGGCGGTGCGACATCTGCCACACAACCCGAATTGCCTGCGGAAAGGCCACAAATGCGTCAGCGTTTGATCTCTGCGCAAAGGGCAGACAATCACTCAGTGGCGGTAATTGAGGCCAGCGACTTGGAAGCAGCCCGTTTACAGTCCACACTGCTAGAGGATACATTCCTAGAAAAAGTAACCAAAGCTTCGCCAACAAATTTCAAAATTAAACCATCATTAACGCTGCACACGAGCACGCTAAATTGGCTATTGGAAAAAGTGGATTCATCACTGCATCAACACGCCAACGGCAAGGCGCCCTCGCCGAACGCGTCACTGAAGTGTAGCGATGAGAATGATATCAATAAGTTACAGGTATCGCCGCCACCATCTATACCCCGCACAAATGCTCCACCGCCCACGCCACGCAAACGCCTCTCAATGCTTGATCGCCTGCGTGATGATACTTTCAAATATCGCGACAGTCTACTACGCTCTGCATTGGAGAACTAAAAGCGGAAAGTTTGTAATTATTTTTTATAATTATATTTATTAGTCTACTTTAGATTGTGTGTAATCAAATTGAATATTTAGTAGTACCTATCAACATACATACATATATATATATATATATATATTACCACCTACCTAACTACCTACCTACCTACCAACTACATACCCCATATACTTATATGTATTATATACATTCATTGGTATATATTTACCAACCTAATAACCTACTAATTTATTTGTGTAGGACTGTTTCATAAATTCCAAGAAAACCTTGTATGCACATTGTCACAGACTTAAATACATACATATATACATATATGAAAAGAAATGTACATACATATGTAGATTACCGTCGTACATACAAAGCCTACATTAGTATTAGCGTGATGTAAAATGTACAATCCATGTACCTTGTACACTCAAACGAAATCATTGTTCATTATTTCGTGTGAGAAGAAGCCTTACAAAATAAATAAAAATCATAGAAGAAACAATTTTTGTTTTCATTTAATCAAATGAGTTACGTTATCCTGCTTATATTGTCATGGTTATAATATTACTTTGGGTTTCGAGGATTAAGGTGGCAATTATCTATGGATTGCATTGCACAAGCAAGAGATTTTGTAGTAGGATAACTGATGACAGAGTAGTTCTCTGATTAGTTATGGCTGCCGGGCTATGGAAATACAGGTTTGATTCCTGCAGTGTGCCAAACTGGGACTTCGGATCTTCGAGTCTTCGGGTGCCAAATGCAATCAAACTCTCCTTTACCCCAGCAGTACATAGGCTTGATATCTTGCTACTGCCGACTTTCATTTGCAACAATCCCAGATTGTACTCTGAGAAGCCGTGCCGCCATGTAGGGAATCATAGAAAGCCATCAATATGAACAAGACGTGAATCTGACGAAAGAGTTACACACATAAAATTTGAAAAGCATTATTTTCATTGATTTCAAGGATTGTTCGATGCCCTTCACCACCCATATATGTACATACATATATCATTGGCGCCTTGTAACCGCAGAAGTGGTTTTCGGCCGAGCTTCTGATGTTTTTCCAACAAATGAAGAGACGTACAGTATATACATAGTACTGGGGTTTACTTGTCGCATCATGTCACACTTTACGGCGCTGTAAAGATGTTTATTCGCGTTAAAAGTTTGTCTTAGACAGTTTTTCGATTGATTGACTCAGTACGTTGTGAGCGCTCGTCAAAGATGGACACCAGCAAAGAGAAAATTCGCTATATTTTACAATTTTTCTTTGATCAAGGCGAAAAAGTAGCCAAAGCGGCTGGAAAAATTAATTAAGTATATAAGTCCGATACTGTAAACGAAAGTGTAGCACAAAAGCGGTTTGCAAGGATCCAAGATCCACCAGGTTTTTCTGCATGTTTGATGGGATTGGCAAGGAATCATCTACTACGAGCTGCTCCCATATGGCCAAATGCTCAATTCGGCCCTCTTCGGACGCTTGAAGGCAGCACCCATCCAGAAGAGGCCATTTTAGATCAACAGAGACCGAATTGTCTTCCATCAGGACAACGCCAGGCCACACACGTCTTTGGTGACGCGCCAGAAGCTCCAGGAGCACGGATGGGAGGTCCTAATGCATCCACCTTATAGTCCAGACCTGGCACCAAGTGACTACCATCTCTTTCTGTCCATGGCGAATGCGCTTAATGGTGAGAAGTTGGCCTCAGGAGAGGCGAGTTTTTTTTGCCAATAGGTACGCAGCCTTCTACGAGAGGGGTATAATGAAGTTGGCATCTCGTTGGCAACAAGTTTACAAACAAAATGGCGCATATTTGACTTCCGATTTAAGTTATCATATTTAAAAAAAAATCAATAAAAATAACCGAACGAACTTTTTACTTGACCTAATATGATTGACTTGTAATGCATGAAATCGAAAGCTCATAGTACAAAAACTATTTAAGGTGGCTTAGAAAAAGCTTTAGGTCCCTCCATTTGGGGGGAAAACGACAAGACGAGCATCATATATTGAAGAGAAAATCTCAGACCACTTTTCTGAGAGGAGCAAAATTATAGGAATTACAATAACATTCTTTAGAAGATCTAAGCAATTGGAGAAGTAATGGTCTCCAACAGGGAGGAGATCTTCCTCTCCTCCACTTCAACTGTACCTTTGCCAGCGTAACCGATGTCTCCATTCGCTGAACTATATCAATGTCATCACTGTCTTAACGCAAAGGATCATACTCGTACCTCTTTCGTCAAACATTTCTCTCAAAACTGCTCGCTTCGGGCTTATTTTGGTAGACCTTGCGACTTCACATAACCCCACAAAAAGTAGTACAACTTGAAGGCCACGCCACATACCCCGTGCGCTCACCAAAAGTTTACTTCAATAAATTGATTTTTCGTTGGCTGCAGGGCATGAAGCGCCGTCTTGTTGGAACGAAAGATCGTCCACTATAATATGCTCCAATTCAGGTACTAATAAGTTATTAATCATAGCTGAATAGCGTTCCGCAATTACCATAACATCATAGCCAGCTTCATTTTGAAGAAATGTGGACCAATGATTCCGTCTGACCATAGAGCACAACAAACAGTCGCAACGCCGTCTCAACAATCGCTTGTGGATTATAAACACTCCAAATTTTATTTATTAACGTAATAATTCAATTTAGTGAGCTTCATCGCTGAATAAAATTTTCTTGTGAAAATCGGGATCGATGGCCACTTTGTTTTGGGCCCAAACAAGGAATGTGAGACGCGCTTAGTAATCGCTCGGCTTTGATTCTTGCTGCGAGTTGCTTTTGTAAGCCCCTAAGCTAAGATCCTTTCGCAAAATCTTCCATCAAGTGGATGGGCACAGATGAGTCTTCTGCCGTACTTTGCTCCACAGCAGCAAGCGGGTCCCGGTGTGCGACATCCCATAGAGTTCGCGTGGATGCATGGTACCTCGCATAACGGACTCTGTCGAATATTGGAAGCTGCGCGCAGAACGAATCATTTTTTGGTAATAAATTTGCACGATTTGCAAACGTTGTTTCATAGTAAGTCTGCTCTTTATGAAATGGCAAACCTAACAGAGTACAAATCAAGTAGCAGTCGTCGAAAAAGACCAACTCAAAAAAAAAAATTTTTTTGCCTCATAGAAAACCACGTCTAAAAAAACACCCTGTATTTCACAAGAGTTCTTGCAAAATCAGCATAAAGCTCCAGCTCTCAGCTCTTATTGCTGCGCTGGTGAAAGTGGCTGCTGCATTTGTTGGAATTGCTGTTGTTGTTGGCATTGCTGCTGCTGGTTAAAAGCCGCACCTCTAGCCTTCGAGCCACTTTGCCAAGGCCTTAGCACTGCAACACTTTTCAGGTTAACAGCCAGCCAGGCAGCCAAGCAACCAGGCAGTCAGTCAATCAGCGAGGTATGTATGTGCTGATAGTTATATACTATACATGTATACCCGTACACATAGATGTGCACATAAGTAAAAGTATGTAGGTATGTACGTGAATATATGTAAACATTTGTATGACCGATATTCATTTAAGTGTACCAATTGCTGCTGCATTATTTTTTTTTATTTTTGCGCTTCCTGTCCGCTGTTGTCAACGTGCCGTCGTCTTTCACACAAACACATTCTTACATACAAATAATATATAAATGTGTGTAGGTATATATACCATAGTTTCTTGCAGGAAGCAGTGGCAAAATATAAACTATGTCAGGGTCAGGATAGGTCGATATGTACCTAAACAGAACACCGTTAGTGGTGTGGGTGGACGAGTATGTGTGTGTGTGTGTGTGAGTGCGTGTGAGGTAGCTGGCGGAGATCTATTGGTGCAACTGTTGAGGCATGGTTACCAAAAATCAATGCAACAAAAAAGCGCAAAAGCCAAGCCAAGGTGTATATGTACATGTGTATGTGTGTGTATATGTTAATGTTATAGAAAATTCAAAAAAAAAAAAAAAAAAAAATTGAATAGAAAAATATTTAATAATAAAGTGGTGAGCGGCAGGTTGAGGAGCGGTGTGTTGCAGGGTAGATGATATTATCAATTCTCAAAGAGGCACTGCAGTACATCTGCATATAATATATATATGTACACATATATATATATGTATATATATGTACACACATATATATATATATATATATATATATGTGCTGAAAGCTTGTGCGTTGGTAACCGATGAATGCAGGAACCATATTTCTGGGAGTTCATGGATATTTGTATATGTGTGTGTGGGTGTATGGAGACAACTTTTTAAAGGAATGAACTCTTTTATTATATATATATAATAACACATATACATATATACATACGTGTATGTATAAACATGTATGCGAGCGTATACAAAAGCGTAATCTAAAGCTTGTGCATTTAGTGTGTAATTGAAAACCACTTTTAAAAATTAAATTGGTACACGTCGCCCACCGTTCACGGCCGTAAATCCGCGTGTCACATACATATATACATACATACAAATTCCAATAGGCACATAGTACATACATGAGTATGTATAAAATAAAATAAATTTCTACACATTTTCACATTTGTAGTTTGTATTAACAAATATGCTACAACAACAACAACAAAAAACAACAACAACAACAACAACCACATATGCACTATAAAAGCTGTTGTTGTTGTATTTCTGTTGAATAAACTTAGCAACAAAATTTCGTATTTCATACAGCGAAAAGTTTTCCATAGTTTTAATAGAACACGAAAACTTTCTCAATAACCACATGGCGGAACTTGGTGTAAGACTGCAGAAAGAAATAAAGCAAAACACAAACAAACAAAAAAACGAAAAAAAAAAAATTGGTGAAATAAAAGCAAACGCTAAGGAAAACTCAAATGGGTAACGCAATACAATAGCCAAAGCTCTCTGCTCCATGAATTTCAAAAGTATTTAGGATCAAATTTGCGGTTATTCAAACAATATTGGTTTACGAATTTCGCCAAAGCCAACAGGCTCCGTGGTGGTGGAGGGGGGCGCTTTAGAAGTTCGCAAGAGCATTGTTAATGTGAGTTTCATGTTGAAGATTAAATTTTTGCTCATATTCACATAAGCAGAAGTGCACGAAGATGTGGAGTGAGGAAAATCAACCAAAGATGTCTCTTATAAGCGCCTGGCACATATTTATGATTTAACGCAAGGGTGGAAAAGGATAATGTTTTTTCTTAGAAAAATCATAAAATACATCGTCCATGGCCTGAAATTCCATTACACACAGTAGCTTTTGGATCGTAAACCTCCCAACCAGTTCGATCGTGTTGTGATAGAAAGACGGCATGTTTTTACTGTTCTTTATGAGCATACGAGTGGAGAATCTTGTATAGACTCGGAGCTCTATATTGTATCAGCTGCACACAAGATAACCCTCTGCCTCTGTCTTTCGAAAAATGTCAACCACCATACCGCCCTGAAGGTTCGACGTAGGAAAGCTCCAATCACAATTCAGAGTGAAATGAAATGGTTTTCTAATCGGCTTACATACCTGCCCTCCG